CATAGGTCCCTCATCCTATTCATGTAGCCCCTTCCGCCGGGGTTACTTGCGTAGTAGCATTCCAACAACGCCCTGTTTTCGTCCCTTGCCCACCGATGCCTTCTTGTTTTATTTATATATATATATATATATATATATATATATATATATATATATATATATATATATAAAACAACAAAAAAACACCCAGCACGCCCCTGCGGGCGGTTTATCCTACTGGAACAAGAAGGCATCGGTGGGCAAGAGACAAAAACAGGGCGTTGTTGGAATGCTATAAAAAAAAAAAACACCCAGCACACCCCTGCGGGTGGTTTATTCTTCAAGCTCGGGTCCTCTACCAGAGGCGTGGGAGCTTGAGGGTCCTGAGAGACATACATTATATTACAGGCTTATATTACAAACCTGTAATGTAATTTATCCTCATATCTGCACCAATATACTATGAATTGGATATGCAGACATTATAAATAATTATGGTAAAGCAATGTTTATATATGCTGTTGCATCACTCACGTTACACACTGTTGAAGACAACACACTATTCGTTGGACAAAGTTTCACATATAAAGAAAAATGATAGTCTAGTAGTCTTCATAAATTTAAATATAGCTCGAATACAAATAATAAAAAAGTTATTCTCAGTAAAAAGTCTTATACTTTGTTAAGGCATAAAAACTGATAGAGCATTGTCACTGGAGTATTGTCACTGATTTCTGCGAGATGGATCTGGATATAGCTTATGTGCTTGTGGCTAGAGGTTCACCTTTGAAACCACAACACAATAAAGCCTTTCTTCAAGAAATTGTTCAGTTTATTTTAACTACAGTAGAGCTTCTGCGTACCATTATCTATGGCAGTTATGACGAATGTGTAAACGTTCTTATCATCAAGAAATCGTGACTCTCTGTCCATCTTCTTAGCTGACATGATCAGTGGCCACCCTCTCAGCTGGTTTTTCTAGGAGTATATACATAAAGAGAAATCAGAGAGTGGTGGAGAACATGTTAGGTGAAAATGCTGAATTGTTTGCTTGTGTACTGCAATACAAAGGGAATTACTACCTCAGTAGCCATTTCTAACTTTTTGTTATGTTCCTCTGTGACACCTACTGGCCTTGCAGTGGTGATGCAGTTGTACAGGCTTATTTTCATGATAATCCACGCCTGACCAGGTGTCGACGTTCATGTTGGTGAAAACTTTTAACCCAACATTTCGAATTGTGGAAATTTATATTATTTAGAATTTTGCTAGTAACGTTCTTGTTTAAGGGGATTTCTCATTGTTGCCCCTTAAGTGAACCTATTGTTAATTTAATTGATTAATTTAATTGGCACCAAAACAACACCTTTTGCTATTTATCTGACCAGATCAATATCCTGTTTGATGATGCTTTATGCTATACTTTGATTAAAAATTAAAATTCCTTTAATGCTTTGAACAGTGTTTTAATGTTTCATATTTTATCTCTCAAAAGATGTAAGCTATACAGAATCAAAACCAAACCAAAACCACCAAAGCTAAATGAGTTTATGCTGAAAAAAGAGCCATAGTTCAAATGAAATTAAGCATATATTTTAACTTATTAACATATTTCTAAAATCATCATTTGCTTTCAACTCATAAGTTTTAGGCTTTGCTATATTTTCTAATGTTTTGCTGAGTAAAAGCAGTAGTGGTATAATTAACTTGATATTTTAACATCAACTGAACAAAGATGAAAAATTCAAGGAGAGGCGGGTTTGTTTCAGACTGTTTACCAGAGTTTAAATAGTTTTAATGTTTGTTACAAACAGAGAAACCGCTTCCACACAGACAGCCTTTTTTTAACCAGCCAGCTTTGGTTAAACCCAGTTTTGTTTTGTGGGCACCATCCCTGTTATCAGTATGTCAGCTGCATTTCAGTGAATTTGCATCAGTAATGATATACTGGTATATCAGTCTTTTTTCAGTCTTTTCAATCTTCTCTTCTTCAGTTAACACTAATAATGAATTGCTGATCCCTTTTTTAATTGACTCAAATGTTTTACTTTACCGTTACTGTCCACACATATGTGGAGAAAAGACATAATCCTGTTTAATAATAATTTAAACTCAGCGGAGGAGTTGAAAGAGTCCTACCTGTTGTTCTTAAGGTTTAATGCTCTTAATAAAAGTACAGTAACAGAGGCCTATACAGTTAGTGACTGTGATTTTTTAATGAGCATTCAAGTACAACTGAAATTCTTTGGTTAGGGTAAATAAACTCATCTGCATGGAAAATTGTCTAAAGTGAACAGACACCAGCTTTTTTTCTGATAGCTAGCTTTTTCCTTAGCCAACTAACTGAGGATGTTTATTTACTAATTAGTTTCAAACACACATTTAACGTACCAAAAAAAGTATGGCAAGCTCATTTATGTTGCTTAGTCCAATTTACTGTAGAACAAAGGAAGCTTTTGTAGAAGTTGAATAAGGAAGATCTGTGGTCACACATCTGTCTCCTTCCCGGGTGTTTGGTGGCTCATCTAACCTTTACATCGCTTCCACTCTCCTATGATATAAAGCTTATTGCAGCATCAGTGGTCTAGTCCGACATTCTTTCTTCACCACTTCTTCAGGTCAGTCGGTCTTCACGCCACATACTTGAAATCTCACTGCTCACCTGTAATTTTCCTTGTAAATAACTTCATGCAATTGTGCTCAAGTCTTTGTCATTTTCTTGCTATTAGTTACATTTGTCAATCACTTCGATTGTACACAGTGTCGTCTACGATCCCGTCATGATACCAATCCTGGAAGCTCTCCTCTATAATAAAAGGAGTCGCTGTTCCTGCATTGCATTACATATGGCTGCTTCCTATCTTCCTTTCTGCAAATTGTTGCTCTCAGTAATTCCAATCCAGCATATAGCCTATAGTGCAATTACAGGAGCATGTTTCAGTTTTTACATGTGCAAGCCTTTACCTTACCTACCTTCCATGCTGCTGCATCAGCAACAGCATGCAAATCTCTCCTGGGCTTATTGATATTATTTTCAACTTTACATTGTGGCCCAATAAGTTAAAAGTTGTTTATTATGTCTATCAATAAATGTAAATATATTCGTAACATTTCAGGTATCATTCCACATTTTAAAAACTTATTCTGCTTTCCAGTCTTTGTATAACAAAACTCTCTCTTATGGACAACACAATACATTTATGTGTGTGTGAGTACATGTGCACAAAATGCATAATATCTCACAAATATTTTAATTTCCAATACAAATACAAATTATTCAGAATATCCTCACACAGCAGAATGTGATATTTTGAATAGCATTTTATTTTTAATAAAAAATCTCTGTTTTCATTGTTCACATGTAAACGCAGAAACTGAGTTTTTGAAAAAACTGTTTCTGTTGATATGTGAACTAAAATAAGCTGTAATACACAGTCTTCACCTGCAGGTGCCAATATTAACTCACAAATGAGGGATTGTGAGTTGTTGAGAAGTAGGCTAACATACTCTAAGTGGATAAGGGTTTATATGTTGAGAGCAAAATCTTTCTCTTTTTAGAAACATCAGCCACCATAAGAGTTACTGTAAGTCCCCAAAGTCAGGCTGTACAGGACACTGCTGAGTTGGAGTGCCTTCAGTTATAAATCTAAACAGATTGTCTGTTGAGCTGTGCAACTTTAAGAATATACTGAGAACCTCAGATTTCATAGAAAAACTAGATGATCGGTCGTATCTTATTGTTCTTCTCCTTACAAAGTCTGCACTGTTTTCCATGGCATTAGTTGCAGCTGAAGTGTGATGCAACTGAATGTTTGAAGACTCGTACTGAGAAAGGGAGAGTGAGGACCTGCAATGATCCTAAGTGCCTGGTAACTCCATCTCCCACGTATGAAGTGTGAATGTGTGCTTTTAAACAAGTATTTTAGGTAACGTGTGTCTTTTTAATGACCTTTTCATTCTGTACATGACAACAGAAACCTCTGTGTTTCTGAAGGTAAAAATGCATGCCACTGAAGCTTTCATTTTACTGTTAACCTCAAAGGAATATTCAAGTTAGGCAAAAAGGTAAGTTAAGTTGCCAGAACTCCTGAAAAGTCAACAATGTTCTGTCCTTGCAACGGGTTTCCATTTTCAAAGCTACTGTAAGTAGATATCGCACACTATGAACTTTTCCAATAAAAGCAGAGCATAACTTTTTTTAGTTTATTGAAGCTTCACATAACTGATTATCCTCTTTTTGTTTTTTTAATAGTATGTTTACATAAGTATTTAAGTGTTCCCATTTATTATACAGTCCAAATGTTTGTAAATGAACGTAGAAGAAAATGCCATCACTCCACACTTGACCAAATTTGAATTACTTGGGTTGAACTACAATTTATCAAACTTAAAATGTCACACTAACAGAAACAGAAGCAGATATAACATACTCAGGGACAAATAGTTTCTAAAGCAACGATGTAAAAGAATAATCTCCCAGCAGACAAATTAGTCACACCTTGCATTTTGCCATGTCTGACTGCACTTCCTTAATGCCAGAAGGTGGTACTGTGGTTGAAAAAGCACTATTTTGTTTTCTTTACTGGAAGCAGAACACACATCTGTCACAAGGTGAGATAACTCAGAAATCCATTGACTAATGTTACCTTGATATTTTGACTTTTGCCAGCTTTTTCACCCTGTGAGAACATGATGGAGTCAGTCATGGGTTTTTTTCTCATATGGTTTTCTTATTTGAGTTCACTTCCAAAACAAAACTGTGTTAATTTTGCAAATAATAAAAACGTATGTTTATCAAGGATAACTGAAATTGGAGGCTTTTATATTTGGTACACTCCTCAGTGTTATGTAAAACGACTATACTCCTCCTAATCCAGATGTCCTGATGACCCCCCTCATAAGCAGTTGGTACAGGCCATAGTGCTCTAGCCCACTATCAACCCCTTCAAGCCACACACACACACACACACACACACGCCACCCTACAACACAACTGAGCTTGTCTGACAGAATGAGCAAGACTGCGTGTGTGCGTGCGAGACACCGAGAGGCAGCCAAGATGAAAGTGTGAAGCAGTGAGAGGGAAAACCTAGAAAAAACAGCAAAGGCGATCAGAAAGGGAGGGGAGAGGAAGAGTCAGCGAGCACAGCAGGAAAGGCAGAGCAGAAGAAAAGACAGAAAAGAGCAAAGGGAGATAATGTGAATGTTACATCTTTAATAACGCCCATACCAAAGCCAGGAGATGTAATGGATAGATGACCATCCTCTACAAACACACCAGCATTCTGTCCTGGAGCCTTGACAGGAGGGGACAAGACAAATTCAACACCTTCAAAGGCTTTTAAAGGCTCTTCAACCAGTCCCACACCATCGAACCATGTCGTCTGCTGGGTCAACTAACCTCAAAAAACGTCAGGCATGTAAGTAAATGAGTTAACAGAAATGTAGTTAGAAAAACAAAGCCGTAAACAGACCTGCAGTGCATAACTTTATGACCCACACTGGAAATTACTCTGCAGAGTAGCTTTAGTATTGTAGCTCTTTTTCAGTTTACGAGGGTAATTTAACAAATTGCTTTCAAGAGCACATTTCAGAATATTCCAGGCAGTGAAAGTCTTAATATACAACTGAGATTTCTAATTTCCTCCTAGTGCAACAGCCTTACATGACTCACAACCCAACATCCAGAGCCTCAAAATATATTTGACATCTCCTTCACATGACATCTTTCATTTAGCATCATTAAGCTCTTTTATAAGACAGCAAAACAACATACACTCTACTTTGTAGGTAGACAGTAGGTATGACATGCATGTTATGTTAACTTTATTTAAAGACTGTTACTGAAATCTGGTAATAAATTATTACCCATGATTCATTTATCAGTTTATATGATCCAACTTTTCCTTCCTGCTAAATGAGCTGGACAGAAGTACAACATGAGTAATGCTGATGTTGTTTAATCACAGTGAAAGGATAAGAACTAGTTCTTAGAGTTTCTTCTTATAGTAACAGGAAAGATCTGCTGACTCTGATTTACTTTCTGGGGAAACACAGTCAGATTTATAATTGAACCAGTGTAATGTTAAAGTGTCCACAGAGTAATGTGCTATATTAATGTGCTCTTTAATAATGTCTTTGTCTGTGGGGTTGTGTATGGGCAGTACTGTACACAGGAAGATTAATAGAAATGTATGTCCGATAAAAGCACTGTTTAGACTGGCCTAAATATGGCATGGCTGGAGGTCATCTTTGTTTTCAGCTGTGAGTGAAGTGCTTTAATGGTTTTGGGAATGGGAACAGCCTGGGAACAGAAAATTTGATCAGACATATAGAGAGTGGGTGGTCAGAGGAGGTTTACATTTAATCTTACCATAGGAGTTTGAGATGAGAGATAACTAATAAAGTATTAAGAAGCATTAAAAAGTGTTAAGTAATAAATAAAAGAGTGATGCCACATATGTATTAAACTGTAGTTTAATGTACTGTTAAGTACTCTTGAATCTAGGCTTCAGGCTGTGTCTCTTGTAGTATAACATAGGCTAGTATAATGGTGGTGCTGGGTGTTATAGTAAGAGCATACTTTAAATGACCAGTCTTGATTTACTATCTGCCACATGGCTGTGTGTTTAATGGATATGTGAGTGTGGGCAGCGAAAGGAGTGAGGAACCACATCGGGGGAGGTGGCTGTTGTGGTGCAGTGACCTCACTCATAAATGATTTATGCTTGATGGACTACTGTTGCTACAAAGCCAGGAGAAAGGAGTGGTTGGCTCGGTAAATACTAGTAGTAATTTCTAAAAATTATGAAGCTGTATACTGCTGTTAGATGGGGGTCTCCGGGGGGGAATTAGGAGATGTAGGAGAGAAAGGATAGGGTTTAAGATGGATGGGCTGTCACACGTTATTGGTCATGCAGTGTGACTGCTGTATCAGCTCTCTTACGCACATAAGCGCCCAATCTCTATTCACTGAAAATGGAAAGATGATCATGGGATTTCTTTCCACTTGCCACAAGGGGATTACATGTTACACCATGTGACTCTCCAGTTCAATAGGAACATTTGTTTCCAGCGCCTAGTGCAGTGGCAGAGAACTCTTGATATACAGCTGCACCATTACAATAACACATATTCATATATTGAAAGATGAATGTTGTTATCACAGAAAAGACACTTATATCCAATAATAAAAGCCAAGCATTGCAGTTTATCAGAAGCAGAACAGCTGAAGGGGACACTGCATCATGCCCCGGTGATTAGAGGATCAAAAGGAAGAAAAGAAAATCATGTGCTTCAGCTTAATTGTCACCTCTGGCCCTGGAATTCATATATATCCTCAAGCTCAGAAACTCACACATCACCAATACCTTTTGTGTTCACTGGAGAACGGATCAACATCAATGCATGTACAGAAATGTTTTAAAGAAAAAGAATGTGGAATGTAGATAAGAATAAGAAGAAGGAAAACTTTCCATATTAATACAAACTCTATTATTTCTATGCAATGTCAGATAACAAAAGCATCAAACATGCATGGTGGCACTGCATCCTTTGTATTTGTCAGAAAGAGGTGTAGCTGAGTTAAGCAGACCTAAAAAGCTCTTTATCCTCAAATCACTGACACTACAGTTACTTTAAACCAGGGATAATGCACAGCAGATTCAGGATGCAGAACAACAATCAGCTTTCTTTGAAAAACCTCCTTTGAAAAACTTTCTTTCATTCTCTTTTTCTGGCTGCACACATTAATATACACTGCAATCAAACCATTGAACTAAGTCCTCATGCAGTAGGAGTCCAGTGTAGGGTGTGCAGATGAAGATGGTACAAGTATTATGTAACAGTAAGATCTAAGTATATATGATGTGGGTTGAGATCAAGAAAGGATTTCTGGAGGGGTCAGGGTAGGGGATGGGAACACGTCATGTAAGAGATCACAAGCATCGTGGGATTCCATCCATCCATCTATTCATGCACCCATTTTCTTCCACTTATCCGTGGCCGGGTCGCAGGGGAAGCAGCCTATGCAGCCTAAGCAGAAAAATCAAAACCTCCCTCTCCCTTGCCACCTCCTCCAGCTTGTCCGGGGGAACACCAAGGCATTTCAGGCCAGCCGAGAGACATGATCTCTCCAGCATATCCTTGAATGCCAGCAGTATTCCTGGAGACTACTTAAATAAATTACAAGAAAGCTTGCAAGATAGTTTAGGCTGTGCTTTGTCTTATATACTGCATTTATATTGAAATGGTTTAATTTAATAGTTTGCACATACTTCAATAAATTGCTATTTTCATTTTCCTAGCAAAATATAAAGAAGCATTGGTTGCACAGCACAAAATCAAAAGCACCGGAGCAAAAGTGCATTATGTAATGTGTTTTTCTGGTTTGATGTGAAATTCAAAAGATACCATATCTAGCTTATTAGCGTACCACCTACTTACCTCTAATTGGGAGTCAATTTCTAATTAATGGATCTTATTATACAGCACTATGGATAACAGCACATTTACAGCTCCAGGATAATCATCAGCAGAATGAGTTTGAGATGGAAGGTGGTTCTTGCACACAGCAGTTATACATAAGTATTTCTTCTGGTTCAATCAGTGACTGTAACTATATCACTGTGTTTTAACACACAGTAACACTTGCAATAAATATGATAAATCAATTTGGAACCCACATATTTGTAGCCTTGTATTTTTCCTTTCGTTTACTCTCTCGATTTTATTTTCTTCTGTATTGTTAATAAGCTTCCTGTCCTGAGGCCTGCATTTCCAAAACAAAGTAAAACTCACACATCATCTGCTTTCTCTTTGCTGACCCACCTTTAGTAAGCGCTTTCTATGTGACCTGTATTTTGCTGCATACATTTATATAAGAGTGTGAACAGAAATGGATGTGTTCCACCATTTACGACTATTTTATCAGTCTTGAAAATTTTCTGGTGTTTATCTATAGGGCTCTCTTTCCAGCTTAACTCTGGTCTTTAATTTCATTTACACACAGTACTTGCAATGTCAGGTCAAAAGAGATTTTATCATTAGCTGTAACGCTTATTCAACCCCCAATTCCAAATAAAAACAGAAAATGATTTGAAAATCTCACAACTCCACTTTGGTCATAACAGAATATAGAAAACATATCTATGCTTAAACTGAGAAAGTTTACTATTTCAAGAAAAAAAAAAAAGTAAATCACTTTGAATTTAATTGCAGCAACATGTCTCACAGAATTTGTGACAGGGCCATGTTTACCACCATGCAGCATCTGCTACTTTAATGTACTGTCTTGCTAAAATATGCAAGGCCCTCCCTGAAAAAGACATTGTCTGGATGCGAGGACATGTTGCTCTAAAACCTGTACATGCCCTGATGTTGTTGTTCTAGATATGCAAGGTAGTAATTCCATTCTGCACTATCATACCATCACAGATGATGGTATTATCAATACAACATCTAATTTATATCTATAAAATCTGGAATCATGCATGATATAGTATGATGTCATTATGCTGACTAGAAAACACCAAACAACAGGTTAGGTCCTCTTCATTAGTACATAGGAGTCCCTGAAAGTTACTGTATATTTGTGTAATGTATACATGTGTATACAATGTGTGTTTGTATCATCTGTCTGCATGTCTACAAGTCAGTCTACTCTTTAGTTTGTCTTTTGTTCACTGGTTTCTCAAGAAAAACATATCTTGATCTCAGTGACAACCTGTTTAAATAAGGGATTTAATAACAATAATAATCCCTGTCAAAAGCATAAGATTTCCCTCTAGAAGCTATGACCTCTGCCTGGTAGTAATGTAACCTTAGCCAGTTTGCATGGATACCTCCTACACGTCTTCCACAGCAGTGTGGCAGGAAACCCAAAGGTTATCTGAATGAGTCAGTTTTTTACATATATGTTTCTCTCCCACGTCAGGGCAGACAGATGGGGACATGCGGCTGAGACTGTGTGTGGGTTGGACATGTCCATTGGTCAACTCAACTAGTAATGCAATATGATTTTTAGATAAACAGACAAAGAGGACGAAGGCAAGAGAGAGTCACAGAGATACAGAGAGAGAAAGAGACTTCCATATGACCAAGGGGCAAAACGAAACTTTATGTAAGCTGTTCAGTTTAATCATGGTCAAGTTTCATCATTATTAATTAAGTAAGTACTTAATTTGTATCAATAATTTCACTGTTGCCAAATGATTCCTCTAAAATATTCATGGACACTGGCAGGTGGCAAGATGGTGGAAGGGTGATTTTAGTAGTTTGCATTTCCATCATTATTTAGTCAAAGATCATATTAAGTTTCATCCTATTTCTCCTGCATTTCACTGTTGATTTGAACAACTTTGTTTTGGAGTGTAGTCTAATAAAGCATGTCATTTAAAGCTTTAGCAACTCTATATGAAAAACAGATGTAATCACTGCACTATTGACAGGAAGGCCTTCGCTTTTGCTTTATGTGTGTCAACATATAGATTTTTTGGAGTTAGAAATGATCAGAGGGGTTGGAGTGCTAAATCATCAGCTAAGGCCCCAATCACACAGTCCTTGACTTGACTTGTCAGCAACCCCGAAAACAACTAGTCGCAATGAAAAAATGTGTATTTGCCATCTAGCTGGCCATAGGCTGCAGGCGGATGGTGGTAGTCGTTAGGTGAAAGTGCAATTGCTTTGGTCGTTTGCATGGAAGACGCAGGGTAACCTGCAAACACACACCAGCTGCCCTCCGAGTAGGAGTGATACTCCAAGCAGTGTGAACAAAAATCCAAAATGGAGACTCACTTTTACTTTGAAGTGAGACTCAAAGTAAAAGTGATGTCTGCAGCAGTGAGACCCAACTTCTGCTTTAAAAGTCAACATTTTTTCAAGCTTTACTGACATTCAGCCAGTAGTAGTGTTTGTAAAGAAGTTAGCATTTTTTCCATACTAAATGGGTGATCACAGCAATCTGATAGTGACCAAATTAATTACAAGAAAGCTGTTGGTGAAGCCCTTTTCTGTGATCCACTTCACCTAACAACTGGCAGCAAAATCCAGCAACCACTTTATGGTTTGTTTAACATATATACATGTTAATTATATCTCTGACATTGCCCGTTTTAACATGAAAGTCATTCTTCAAGTGAGTCTCAAGTGTTTGTTTTTTTAAATCTTTGAACAGTTGAGTTTGTCAGATGGTTTGAGTATATTTGTATTTTTAAGCTAGTGTAGTACTGACATGTTCATTTATTACATCTATGGTCTGGCACTGGTATATGCTTAAAAACACAGTACACTTTTTTCCAATGACTGTCTTCCCACCAACTGCTTAAAGGGGCAGGCAAAGGGACAGAACTTCCTTCTCAGACCAATTGAATGACAGAATATTGGGTTATCACTCATGGATGACAGTGGACACAATCTTCCAGGGAAGAAAAAAGTACCCGGCAGACTAACAAGGTCTCTGGAGAGAGAAAGAAATTAAGGAGAACCCAGGGTGACACAAATGGGCTGTTGTCTTTGTTTTCAGGCAGGAGAACATTAATGCTCAGTGTAGAAAAGTAAATACTTCTCTTCATGTGCTGACATCAAAAGCATGTTGAGTTCACTGAGTGACAGAATACAAACTAAATAGCATAAATGCATAAGCACTCAGTCATGTGAACATGCTGACACTTTCAGATTTACACATACATGCATGTACACATATCCCCAAAACAATGATGACATGACTCAAAGTGTCAGCTAAGGGTGCCTGGGGGGGAAAGAGGCCCTGTGTTTGCTGAGGAAGATGTAGCACAATTACACAATCACAGCCTGTCGACCCAGTAGAGGACAATGCATGTGGCAGAACTGAGGACAAATACTCTCTTATTTTTCATAATAATAGTTTAAAAATAGCTCCATTTCCCTAAAATCTTCAGCAGACTTCACTGAACCGATTCACCAACTATATGTGAGTCTGACTGTGAACACTAGAGGTCAGACCAGCATCATCATTTCTTTGCGTTAGGTAAAGTTACATAAGGGCTGAGTGAAACAAACATGGATAGAGAGCAATAAAGAAAGAAGAAGAGGAAAGAATAAAGTATGGAAAAGCAAAAATGACAATTTCTCAATAGAGACTCTCCATATCAGTGAGTTTCACTGTTAGTACAAAGTAGTGTAACGTTAAGAAGTGAATGGGGACTTAAAGTAGGATACTGATTTCGTATAACTGCAAGAAAACATTGGTAAATTGACTGCTACTTATAGTGTTTTTCTACTCCAGCTGAGTATTCAAAGCACCTTCTCCTACAAGCCTCATACAACACTTTCATTTTATGCCTTTAAACATTTTGTCTAATACTTAAACACACACACGCACAATGTATGTATGCGAAACAACTTTCAGTATCTTGTCCAAGCTACTGAAAATCACATAGACTGAAGGTACAAGGGATTGAATCACCGCCCTTCCAAATAGCAAACGATCCATTCTTTTTAGTTACTCATTAAACGTATCAGACACAAAATTTGTGACTAGACTAACACAATTTTGAGTGCTGTCAGAGATACATTTTTGAGCTGTGTTTGTTGTCCTGCGTCCTTCCATATTTAATGAAAATTTACAGAATTTTGTTATTACTCAGCTCTTGGCATGATAGCTAGGTGTGAACTACACCACAAATCCAATGACTTTCACACAGCCTTAAAGGACAATGTGAAAGTTACTGACAAAACTTTAAAAAAAAAAAGCACAGCTGAATCAATCCAGAAACAACATAACACTTGTTTCTATTTGCATGACGATTGCACAGTTATTATTTACCATTAAAAGAAACGTATTATTATTTACCAGTCTGACCAGTAGGCTACACTCGCATTTCTGGAAATAATTTGTCATCTGTTTCATGGTATGAGTTTGAATTCAAGAGAACAAAAAAAATGAAAAGAAACTTTTGTTGTCCCTTTATTTCTTTTATGAGGCGAGCATTAGAAAAATTAATCCTGTACTGCAGCTCATATGAGGTATATAACACACCTCAACTACCAAGGAATGGGTGGCTACACGTTTCTAAAGATGCAGACAATGAAACGGAATGTGAGGTGACGTGATCCCTTGACCTTTCTCCTGTTCGCCAACTTTCATGAAAAAGCTGTTTAAACCTAACTCCATCTAAAGGCCGAACAGAATGAATCAAAATATAAGGTTATAAGTACATTTTTAGGTTGATTTATGAAACTACTCCACTACTACTGGGCGAGGATGTTGTTATGTTTATCTGACTAACAGATTATGTTGCACTCAGAAGAGCTGCCCTTCTAGAGCCTTTATGCATCAAGAAAAGAAACCCACATTTTGTACCCTAGAAAAGAGACACCTTGTGTTCCTAGTTATTAGTATAACACAGCGCTACATTGAAAGGAATGTAAAGCCAGTGCTTTAATGTGCTTTCTTGTCTTTTTCTCTCTTTTCTTGATCAGCTGAGACAGACAAGACTCAGAAGCTGTTAAACAATGACTCTGCTCAACACCTAAAACTAAAAGAGAGACGGCGCTTTTTTGAAGAAGTCTACCAGCATGACATGGATAATGACTTACCTACTGCCCAACTGCAGATTGACCATAGGAAGCGTGAGTGATAATCTATCTAATCCCTATCTAATATATATGTATGTATGTATATATATTATGTATATATATATATATATATATATATATATATATATAGACAGATAGATAGATATGAGCATGATAATGTGTGAGTTATATCCTGTTCATGCAGCCCCCATGGGTAGTATCTCTTCGATGGAGGTGAATGTGGACACCCTTGAGCAGATGGACCTGATGGATGTATCGGATCATGAAGCCCTTGATGTGTTCCTCAACTCAGGCTCAGAAGCAGATGAGGGAGCTCTGGCGTCTCCACTTCCAGGTGCACCGTTTGCCTCTTGGGCACAATTAATCTGCTGCCACTATACCAGGGGTCTGCAACCTGCGGCTCCGGAGCCGCATGTGGCTCTTTAGTCCTTATAGTGCGGCTCTGCGTGGTTTGGGAAAATAAATTAGTAATAAACAAGTATTTAGCTGAAGTGTATTTTATTTATGTTAGTTCTTTTTTTTTAACTTGTACTGTAGTTCTAAATTGGAAGATTATTGTGATATTGAAATATAAAAATAAAATTATATTCTATTATTTTTTCATTGCTCAAAATAAGCGTCACACTCGCGGAGGCCGGTGTACCTGCCGAAACGCCGTGCATTTATCGAGACTTTCAACCCCAGGTAGGCCAATTATGGATCTTCGGATCCACGTTATGTCAGCAGCTATTCTCCACCGTGAACTATGTTAAAAACAAACACCGCTCACGCCTCACAGATGACAGCTTACAGTCCTGCTGTTCAGAGGTTCAGGAGCAGAAGTCTCATTGTACCACGGCAGACCCGACGATGTTTGCATGAACATGCTTTTCAGCATCTCTTTATTGACCACTTTTCACACACGGTTGCTGTACGCATACAGCCGGCTGTAGCTTTTCAGCTCACAGCCCGACACGTACCAACAACAGCATAGATGGCACAGACTTTAAGGCGGCGAGGCGTGATTGCGGGTGCTGCTCAGGTGCGTCCGCCTCCCCTGCAGCGGCGCTGCAGACCACACCCCGCCACACACATTAACCAGGTAAAATACATATTTAGGAAGAATTTTGCAAATATCTATTTTTCTTTTTTCAGCAGCATAGTGCTTTTTTTAAATTATTTTTTTAAAAGTCAGGCCAAGGCTCCAAAAGCCCAAAGGTGATATAAGGGTTTTGTTTGCTGGATCATTTTAGTTCAGCTGGGTGTCTTTCCTTTTGTTATATTTCTTTAAGAGTTCAAAATGTGTTAATTACATAAATAAAATGTAATTTTGTCTGTAGCACTTCATGGATTTCATAAGCAACACACCTTAGTTGTTCACACAAAGCATAAAGGTAAAAAACAATATATACAGTGTTATCTTCATTTTAGATGTCAAAAAGTATTTGCGGCTCCCAGTGTTTTCTTTTACATGGGAACCGGGTCCAAATGGCTCTTTGGGTCCTAAAGGTTGCACTATACTATTCAAAAGCTATTCTTGTACATAGATTTCCCATGCAGACATTTTTTAAGCACACCACTTACTCTGGCCCTTTCAAGATCTGTGTACATTTGGTGATGAATTTTTTTTAACATTTTTTTTATGAAAGAAATGTTGTTTTCAAAATAGGACATTTTGTTACAAAAATGTTTTTGTTTTGTTTTTATATTTTGTCAAACAATGAGACAGTGCTGTGCTGAAATACTGTCTTGATTCATATATTCTAATATTTAGGTGTACTGACATTTTTGGTTACTTCTCTGGACAAAACTCACTTGAATAACAATAACACTGCAGGGCAGTTTGGGTCAAAAGTTAAAGGCTTTATATGACATTAAGGGGCATTTGGGTGAACCTGATCAAACCCTGTTCAGACTTTAAACATGGTGACAGGTACCAACATATTCTAACAGACTTTAATTGCAGAGGGTGATGAAGACGATGAAGATGCCGAGGTTGTCTACAGGGAGTGTGCATCTCTGAAACGACAAAATGAGCCGTTCCGTAGCTCGCAGTCTCGCATTTCGTCTACATCGTCTGCTTCCAGTGATAGCAGCGCGAGTGGCGTGGACACACCTGTGATCCAGTCGGATGATGAAGAAGTCCATGCAGACACTCTGCTGCTGACCTCTGCGCCCCAAACTAGGGATGAAGAATCAGACGACGAAGAAGCTGAGGAAAGATACCATCCGACTAATCATGATGAAGCCTAAATTTGAATCACTTAGGAGCAAAAATCGCTCTCTGTGTCTCTTTCTCTTTTTATGTAATTGAATTTCCTCCACATGGATGCAAACCCCAGCATGGCTGGCCCAGTGGCAAAGTTCAATGTTTTTTGAAAGTGTACTTATCCAGAACTTTCAGTTGAAATTTAGTGTACACCCAAATAACTGTGGCATACTTAATTAATTAATTACTAACTGAAATTTTTAGGGGCTGTGTCACTAATAGCGCTTGTATGCAAATTTCCATATGGGACATTCCATGCTCATGCAGTAACTTGTTTTGGTTGAAAGGAAATGGCTTCAAGTTGAAGCTATACACCTCTTACTGCCGGAGGGAATTTTCCCTCCTCCCCATTCTTGAAACTACAGGTTCCAAGCAGCTGTGTGAGGAGCAAAACTGAACTGAAATTGCATTTGCTGAGCAAACAAATCTTTATATATGGCTTTCATACATTAAAAAAGGAAATTCAAGAGATCTGTAGTAATAATATAAAGCTTCCTTACGTTTCACACTGAAACGTAAAAATTCTGGGCACCTTGGATCATATTTTCCCTCTTAATTGGCAATTATAGTGCAACAGATACTATTCCCATCATGCAAGTTATCAGACTTCTCTATGAACACCTTCCTGAATGTGTGACTCATTTCAAATGGCCGTGACTATGAAACCAAGATCTCATGACCTAAATAACTTGTGCTGGAAAGACTTTTAATGCAAATGCAAAAGCTGCATAATACAGCTCAATTCTTAACTTTAGACTTCCAGAAGGGTGCATTTATGTTTAACTTTATGTCTGCTATGTATATGTGTACACATTTAAGCAAGGCTAAAACAATACGTCACTGTCTTCAGTTCTTCCTCTCAAGAAAGAGAAAGTAATTCTGAGAGTCTAGAAAGGACAAAGTCTTTATCCAGCACAGAAAGATAAAAGTTAAAGTGAAAACAAGTAAGTGAAAACATTTTTCTAAGTGAAGCTCCACTTTTAACCTTGAGACCTCAGTGATCGATATAAAAGAAGAAAAGTTAGAATGAGCTGTTTAGTCCATTATCTGTGACTTCTTTGTCCTAAGTGTGAGAATGCCTTTGTGCAAGTGTTCAATCTGCCAGCATCTGGCTCGAAGGGTGATGTGCCTATACAGAGTTCAAAGTGGAAAATACACAATAAAAGTCAGGGAACTCTCCTCGTTGTGATGGAAAGATAAAAAGAAGAATATTAGAAATGAGTCACCAAAACGAGTCACAGTGAATACCCTCCTCCTTCTGCCAAAACCTATATTTCTTTAAGATTTTATAAATTATTGCTTTATGCATGTGGAAACTACAGAATCATGAATGGAAATATTGTATTTACAAATGCATGGTGTTTTGTTCTTGTGACAACTTCATATGTTTTCAGTACTACTAGTGTTGCATTACTGAACTATGCAGGTGGCACCTGTTCTCCATTTGACGTGTTTTTTGGACATTGCATATTTATAGCTAGAAGGAGTGGCAGTGACTCAGGTGAACGCAGTTTGTGTGTGAATGCTCAGTGTTTAATGTGTGTCTACGCAGATGCCAAAAGTTTCGTGCATTCCCCAGCTCGGCCCTGTGACTACTTCCAAATCAACCTTTATACAGTGTTCCTATGATGTGTGCATCTTATTGCAAAATAAAAATAAAAATAATAGTTGGAACAGTTGGAAGTATTTTCATTTGCTTCAGATTTTGCGGATTTTGCTTCATTGTTGTTTCTGATGTTCCAGCATTGCATTAATAAATAGACTGCAAGAGAAGTAACCTCACTACATGTAAAAAATTTTAATGGCAACTCACAAAGATATATAGTTCCATAATATACTGGCTGCTTTAGTGCCCAGCAGCTAGCTTTCTAGTTCAACCAGTTTGACAAATTTGTTTTGGATCACCTTTCATAGAAGCAACTGCTATCTGTGGCTTCTTTGTTTTGCCCATCATCGTGACAAGCAGCGTTTTTGCTGAACTGCTTAAAAGCAACACACTATAACATGTAGCTGTAAACCACATAGCTTGTGGGAATCACAGTCAATCCTTCACTATTAACCACATTCTGACTACTTTTGTCGACTCCATCCATTGCTCATGTTTTCTGTGTAATACCCTGTGGGTTTTAAGTAGACTAACAACAGCACTGCTATGGCGGGCCTTCAATGCACCACCAACCTAAATGACGTATTTTAATGTATAAGAATAAAACACCCTCTACCCACTACATTGTTAGTCAGGTTCTGATTTCCAATACTGGCTATAATAATATAATATAATAAGCTCATTCCAGCCCATTTCAACCAGCTTTTACAGACGTCACACACTTTTAGGGAAAATTCTTAACTCCTGCCCAGAGTTTAAGGAGCCACACTTACAAAGCAGGGCAAATTGCTGCTAGTTTGAGTTTCACAAATGGGAGTGGAGAGTTCTGTGGGTGATCCAGTAACGAAGACAGCCAAAAATGAATAGACCAAATTTGGCGAGAGTAACATACTAACAAAATGAATGCATAAAAGCACGCCAAAAGAAATACAGACAAATCATATATACAAGAAGATGCTGAAGGTAAATCAACGTTTTTGATACAAGGATAACTATTCTTTTTTTAAAAGGTGCTGGGGACTGCTGTCCTCTGTGTAAATCATCTGGATCTTCTCCTGATAAACTAAGAGAGGAGTTGCGTTATTACAAACTATTCCACGGTATAAACCTTAAATTGTCTGTAATAGCTGACTTTTATGTTGTCTTGAAGAAAATATAACATTTACCATTAATTCTCAGCTTATCCATATGTTAATGAAGATATCACTACTGTGCCATGTGCATGTTTTTTCTACAGGCTGTGTGAGACTATGTGAGGCTGAGGGGATTCCCTTCCTTTCTCTTACACCGTTCAGTTCAGGTAGGTTCTGGTCTGATTCATCGGGACACTACTTACTGAAGAGCACGGATATGCTAGGCTTGGCTCTGAATATGCAGGGTGAGGACTCAATGAAGAGTTACAGGGCAGAGCCAAATTATTGGCACTGAAGCCATAGCCTCCATCCATCTTTGCCACTTACGCACTTACATCTCCTCCTCCCATTCCAAATAAATAAACACTTACTTATCATCTATCAAAACCACATCAGGTACAAAGTAAGCTTCTTTGTGGCAAAATGTCCGCTGCAAACCTTAGTAAACCCCTTTTTGTGTGTGCTTCATTTACAAAGCCTCCTTCTGAAACGTTGAGCTCAAAAAAGGAATCTCCTACAAATACATATATAATAAAACCAGCTGCAAATATACCTGTTTCCACACCTTTCATTCACTAAACTGACACTGACTAACACTTAAAACGGTTTTGTGTGTTTATATTTATTATTTGTGCATTGTCTTGTGTAATTATTTTCTAACTGACAAGGTCAGGCCAGGTTCTTTCATACAGTATCAACCTACTTTAGAGGCAGGTATAGCAGTAATAAGTACAAGTACTGAACCTAATATGCAGGTTTGAACTTGTGTGCACTTTGCTTCATTTTCAAACACAATATTATAACTGGCACTTTACAATAGGCAACACTCATGTCAGTTTTTTAAGTCGCTTCTTGCCCCCTGGCAGCTGGGATAGGCTCCAGCCCACCAGCAACCCTGTATATAAGCAGAAGAAAATAGATGCATGTATGTTTTAAATTAGGTTATGACCTAAGATTTCTTTGGGGGGTTTTTTTTGTTTGTTTTTTTGTAATGGTTTAACCACCAGCTTATGGTTTATGCTCAAGCACTATAATGAAATAATATTTTTAATACTTAAATATAATTGTTGTTTTTATAATGACTTTTCAAAGTGATGTTTTTTGTACAAAAAAAACAAACAAAAGAATAGTAAAACTAGAATCCAAATGCCAAATTAGTTATTTACTGAAATTGAAAGACAAAAACTAGTTTTCGAGGTTTACTCTTGATTAAGTTCTAGCTTCTCCAGTCAAGTTGGCTGGCTCAAATGCCGGTATAAACAAAATCATTTAAACAAGTTTTGACTTCTAAACATTTGATCTGTTAAATTCCTGATTTGTTATACAGTACAGAGATGGCTACCAGATAGGGCTGCCTATCTGGTAGCCATCACGAATCATGATTACGTCAACTATCAAAATCATCGACGACAACTTTTATAGTCGACGCGTTGTTTGAAGCTTTGTAAGATCCTAAAAGATGCAGGACTAAGTAGTTGGATTTAAGAGTGTAATAATGGACCGAAACAGAAGATAACAGCAATGCAATACAAACATGCCAGCTGCAGTTACATGCCAAAGAAGAAGAAGAAGCAGTCTCCGGTATCGTAGCTGTGTCCAAATTCACGGGCCTCATCCTTCGGAGGCCGCATTTGTTGGCCAATTACGTTACAGCAAAGCGACAAAGGCTGTTCAAATTTGAAGGTTTCTTCAAATGCGGCCGACAAATGCGTCCTTCATTTCTCCAGATTGGAAGGATGGGTTGGGTGTATCCTTCGTGGCCCAACCTATCCCAGAATTCATAGCGCAGCCCAGCCAATTTCATGTTCCAACAATGGCGGCAGCTACTGAGTTTTAATATTACTCTTTCTGGGTCACAAAATAAACTTTTAACATATTTTCAGGCAAGAATGTAGCTGTGTAAACTTCATATATCTGCTCGATTTATCAAGACATCACATATTTGCAAAAGTGCTCTGACGATTTCGGAGAGGTCTGTTAGCCACCAGCTCGATAGCTAGCCAGGGTTCAAGACTCACTAGAGCTGGCGAGAACACCCCCCGCGGTCTTTTGCTTCTTCAGTTAAACACGATATATAAGTCACTTAGATAACGTAAAAATCTTATTGTTTGCCTTTTTTCAGTGTTTTATTTGTTCCTGAGTAAATCAGTTTGGCTGAGATTAAAGTTATAGTTTTCACACAGCTGAATAAACATCAAACAGAAAACCGAAGTGTGAGATGATAGAGAATATACTCCGGTGTCCT